TAGATTGAGTATTGCAAGTGGGAGTTTTTCATTGTGGAAAAATCCAAAAGCTGAGAGACGAGCGAAACGCGTCACTACTCAAGGAGCGCGCTGGGTCAAGGTACAAGATGAGCCGAAGTCATGTTTAAAGGTAGTGATGGACGCTGTTTTGCTACCAGATCTTGGCATGCAGTTTATCATGCTGGAGACTTCATGGAAGGCTGGGATCATGAAGCACAAATCCCAAAAAATAATGAGATTTAAGATTCACGTTTATCATCATGCTCTTGGGAGCTATTATAGCGCCTGAGTTCGCGGGACTCCTATTCAGTCAAGAGCTATCGAAGGTATAATGAATTTGCTTACAAGGTCCTGTTTCCATAATACCCGTGGTAAAGTATTTAGGCGTTCAAGGCCATAAATCTTCGTAAGTTCAGTGGCGCGTGCTACACACTTTTTGTGTCTGCAAGTGGTTGACACCGGGTACATTGTTTCCCTATTCGTAATCAGTGCGTTGGCCCTCACTATTTACTCATTCGCTGGCATTATTTAAGCATCCTTGTAAGACTGGGTAGCTAGCACGTGAGGACTAGCGCGATGCAGAGAAAGTAGCACTCTATCTGCAGCAGCAGTACTCAAGTTAGGGTTGGACAACGTCTCCATGACTGTTTACCGAAGATGCTCCTGCCCTGTGATTGATACAGCCGTACCGTCTTCAGCGGCTTCACTGGAAGCGGTCTCAGGTTCCACAATTGAACGTGACGTGCAACAGCGGTAGGATCACCCTCTGCTATTTTTGTAACATAATAACGGTGGAATAAGACTTTTATCAACGCAGACCACAACAGGCGTCAAAAGGCTTGAGTCTGGTACACACAACTTAGCACAGATGGAGTCGAATAACCCTTTGCCTCGTCGACAAAAGGCTGAAAGATGACATTGCACAAATAGAGACATTCTGCCAGATAATACTGCTCTTCTTTTACCAGATGCAGATGAGGTCAGCGGCAATAAACTATTTCCAGGGACGCCGGAATGCTAAATGGTGCATAACAGTCATCGGAATGGAAAAAGCACCTTAACCCCGTTGTGTATGCACTACGGTAATGGTGACCGTTACTTTTTCAGCGATCAAACGATTTCTGCGCTGTTGTGGGCTAGCGTTGATTGTGATTAAAAATATTTGAGTTTCGCTATGCAGTGAAATGAAATTTTAGTCCTTGCACTTCACTGAACGTTTTCTGACGAGTGGTGTCAATCTTATTTCCTGTTAAGGAGGTGGCAAACTAACAGCCCCATGACAATTTAGAAATCCGTAACCCAGATTATAAGACTACAGTGCTGAACTTAAATAAAAATTCTTTCTGTGCAAGAGACTCCAACTTCAAGCTGAATTTTTAGGTGGAAAATGTTACCGCACACAGACGGTGAGATGGGGGCGACCTAGATTGTTTTGGGGCGAATGTGTTGATGTTCTTAGTTCTGGGAGTGGGGAGGGTGAGCACCACACGGAATGGATGAAGATATTCAAACGCGGTTCAACTAATAGAACATTTTGAGGCAGCACTCGATCACCGGACGGTTACCGAATAACAAATTACTGATAACAGTGTCACTGACGACGCCGTTCAAACCTGGACCATAAGCATTCGTTCACAGTCGAGTCGGTTGCCGGACAAGCATCACATTCTCTCGTTTTAGAAACAAGGCGACCTCTATCTAAACTATTACTCATAGGAATCTACTAAGTAGCCTTGACACATAAGGCTGCAGCTTACTCATAGAGTCATTCGTATCTTCTATCTGATATTCAGCAGCATCTTTTCAGAACTATAAGCAGGCTATGAAGGTAGTCAGTCATAGCAGTAGCAATCCTTGACAGCAAGTTTGTTTTGCATCAAAACTCCAATTTTCTGGCTGACTCGGCATTCGGTTTTACGGCTGCTGTGCCCATATGAAAGGCCCCATCACTATGTGTTTCACCATGTTTGTCCTTGATCAAATCGAAATGAAAATTTTTTTCCCGAGCTGCTCCTGGATGGAAAGTTCCATCTTACTTGGTCTAGTATGTGGCACAACACATACCTAGACATCACAGCCGATAGCCTATGGGAAACCGGGTTAAAATTAACGAAGGCACACCATGTCACCGGTCAAAGTTATTATTACATTTTCAGTGGGTGCGCATACGCTGGGAAGCCAGTGACCTCGTATGTCTCAGAGTTAGGAGGTCACAAAAGCTATAGGCGTTTCTGTTTTTATTCTGACAAAACAGATGCATTACGGATTCCTAAATCAGATACCTGAAAGCCAGAAACTCAGTTTGAAGGAGGCTTTTGTTCAAAATGATCAAGGGACAGTTTTGGGATAGCTGCAGTACTTCACCGGTAGAACTGCTTACTATAACGCGAGGTGCCGCACCACGCTATCTATCTCTGACCCCTCATTCGACAACAAAATGAGCAGTCAAGCGTGCCTCATTATTTCCTATCATTCTGTAGAGATTTATTAGAATCCTAAGCTTATACTATCAGCAGGATCTATCTGCAAGAACATTGACATCAAACAGTTTTATATATCCAGCAATTTAGGAATTTTCAAACGGAAACCAATCATAACGAAAGGTCCCTGTGAAAATTCACATCGTAACCTGGAAAGGACCGTATAGACTTGAAAATCTTCTCTCTTCGGGTCTGTGATCATTGAAACTCATTGCTTGCCGAGATTGCTACCGTTCTGTCTGTTGATAGCTCTAAGAATAGGCTCGACAGCTACATTCTGATGCATGACATGTGCTCATTCAGCTGGGATACGGACCAGGTCAATGAAACCAATTGCTAGTGCAACATTGTAGCGCAGGAAACCCTATACCAACTGTTTCGTGCGGTTGTTATTGTCGGAAACTCGTCTCAGCCTTATACTTTCTCGTTCGATGCCTCACCTCTCTGCTACACTCCTGTTATCAAAACTACCGATTCAGTCACCATAATCCCTCCGATTATCTTGCTTGCTCCTTCTCCAAACCCTTCACCGTAAGATGTCAGACTACTTATTAAGGTTCTCCTTATCACGGTTCTGCATCCCATCTTCAAAATATACGTAGGAATCCTCCTCTCCTTTCATTCAGCTTCTTTTCAATCTGTTTTTCCTCACCTCATCACCTGTGTTTTCGCTGGACATCACTTCATCCCTTTTATCCCTTTTTACCGTCAGTCTAAACGGCTGTCTGATGGCATGATATTTAAGGGAATCGCACACACCACAGCAATTGAAGATATCAGATAATCCCCATAAACTTAATCAACACCGAACCACATGTCTGGCTAACCAGAGCTTTGACAAGTGAGAGGGTAGATATACTGCATATGAACCCATCAAAAACCTAGAAGACAGTACGGAGGAATCAAATAGTTAGCATTTGCTCGCAAAAGGATACTGTGTTAAGGATCTGTATTTCAGATCACTGCTTAAGATTACAATATAATCCCCGCACTAATGCCTCACTTTTTCGACACAGGAATTAGTGATGCACTGATCTTAGGTGTGGAAGCCGGTTAAAGGAGGCCGCTGTTCAGTTAAACACCGTTTGAGACCCTGGACCTTTATGCTGAAAGCTAACAAAAAATTAACCCATCATTTCGTGGGTTGTAAGTGAATATGTTATGACTTATTATTCTGGTGTTTGTATTTCCCAGTAAAACAAAATAAACACCGAAGAACACTCACCCTACTCCTTAGAAATCCAGTGGAACTGAACATTTTGACAGTACATCAGCTATAGCTGTATGTGCCATTATTTCAGGTTACAAGGCCGATTTTTGATAATAATAAAAATATTCAGAAAGGATTTAGAAATTATGAAGAACGTCTCGTAGCAAAATCTCTTCTCACTAGGAGGAGTCATAATTGTCTAAGTGAGAATGAAGGGGGGGGGGGTGAAACGCTGTTCGACCTGTTCTCTATCGACCTCCACATACAGACATAACCACTATACATGTGGTAAGGAGTACCAACACATTTGTACATACAAATCTCAGTCTGTAATCCATACACACTTCACATACAACCCACTACAATCCTGATGACGAAGCATCATCCATGTAGAAGAACACTCGTCAAGTTATCATGTACAAGCTTGGCGGCTAAGCTGACGGCATCCGGCCAAGCATCCTCGCCATTTGGCACGCTGTCGTGTTACGTTGCACTGCTCGTATTTAACTCTCTAGTCAGTTAGTTGGAACTCGTCGGTATCTTGGCACAACCATCCAAGTATACTATTCCATACGACTACGCTATCGTGTTCTTCCCTGGTCTCGCACCCGTGTGTATATAACAAGTCCGAATAATTAGTGACTGGTCTTTGTGTCTGTCAAGTTCACACCAGGACAAATCCTGAATCATATTAGCATCGAGATATTATATTGTATGACAAACCAAAGCTACAGCAGGCTAGTGAGCATACCTTTTTGCACTGAAATCCACCAAAAACCTGAAATCGTTCCGCAAAACCTAAAAGCGGGCGCTAAGAAATTAACTTTTTGACACAAACTGGTAATAACACATAGGACAAATTAGATATCAGAAACGTAAGCGCTCTGCTCAAAGTGAACGTTACAAGAAGTCTGAAGGAGGTTGGTATGCTGATACGATAGATTTCTTATCGAATTTGAAAGTTTCTAAGTAACATTTTACGTCTTATTTCCTACATCGCATGCTACGTTTATTAGCTGCCTGGACTAACTGTTTGGTATGTGGTTACTCTTGTACTGTACCTATTGAGCCCACGGGATTTTTTCTCATGTTAGCCCCTTGTTTCCTGCTACTCTGATAGTGGTTAGCTTTTGCTACTAGCAAACTTTCTGGCCATGTTTTAGAGTATGTCACTCCTTTTACTATAAAGGTTCAGGCTTAAGGGTAAAGTTAAGACATGACAATCTGTTACACATACCTGTCGTACTACTAGACAATATGATGTGTTCGGTGTTCATACTTTTGGCTTAGAGGCAATACTAGCATTTGGATAAAGATACGGAATTGGCAAACGACGTAAAATGGTTATGTGTGACCTGGTTCCTTGATATTGCAACGAATGTTGACTCATGTTCCGACGTTTTCTTTTGATCTGATTATCTGCATATATGTATTAAGTGAATTGTGCTTGAATCAGCTTTCTTGTGCGGATCAAATATCATTTATCTGCCATTCTCGAGGATTATCGGGAATACTGTAAGTCGCATACCACTTATTGCAAGCAATCCTCCATTACTATCGTTTCATTTGTTTTCTGCATACAGTTTCTTGTCATTGAACAGCCGTTTGAAGACGATCGAATGTAAACATCTCTAGGTTATTTCACTTCAATATAAGTAACACATGGGAAAAAGCAAGACCAAACTTCGCAGTGAAAGTACAGCATCTCACCATTCTTGAATGACTACCAAAAGACCTTGAGCGCAACGCTAAGGAAACAGTCGTTCGTATTGTTTTTAGATAGTGTAATTGGAAGAAAAAGCCTATCTAAACCATGCGATGTATTTGTACAATACTTTTCAAACAGTTTGATCACAACTTTACTTATAAATCCAATTTGAATGAAACTGTAGGATGTTAGGTCAAACAGAACAATTATGGTAATAGAGGATTAAAATCACGAAAAGTAGAAAGGATGATATATTTGATACTAATCTTGGTAGTAAGGTTTACCAGGTTAGGCGTAGTGTAAGAACTAATCGTTTTTGTACACACAAAGGTTATTCTAATTTGCTTACGGCTATAGCTTCTGCAAATCTCAGTATGCATCCCTGGCTGTCTCTAATTAGGACTTTGAAAGCTGTTTTAACATTCATTTTGTGGCCCGTTCTTATATATTTAGCCTTATTTGAAGATGGTCGTCTGCCTCCTGCACTTATCAAAGTTGTACATCATTTTTTTAAGCCACTTAGGTACATGTTTTCCTACCTTCAACTGGATGACTCGATTACTCCCCTCTGTGTATTTCTGACCACACACATGTAAACTGAGAAGCACATTGGGATGTGACGTAATCAGTCGTGCAGTGTTTGTGATGAAGCATGTATTTGTCTTTTCCACAATGATAAACCTTGCTACACAATATGTTTTCCAAATGGCTGGTGTTAGCCTATTTCTGAAAACTATACTATCCAACTGCCGTCTGTATGGTAGAGTGATATAGACACTTCATGGGATCAATGTATAGAGTTGACTTTGGTGCTACCTGACTTTTACAAAGGTTTATAAACTTCAGCACATATCCGTTTTATTAACATAGCTAGATTTTTGACTGATTTTGTCTGCCTAAACTAGTTAAAAGCTGGAACTCGTTGTCAAAAGAAGTCGTAACAGCTTCTTCAGTGTTCGGACTCAAGGGGAAACTGGTTTTATTGAGATAATTTCTACAAGGCTTAACACAGAATAATTGCCTAAGTATTCTTGTAGAATGTTATTGTATTTCTTTGTTTCTGTATTGAAGGTCAAATAAAAACAACTGTTTCCCTTTTTGGTGCATTCGTTTGGCAGTCGCCCTAAAATGGCTTAGTTTTATGCTTCTACTGGCCTCGCTATCGCTTTCTCCATTTTACTAACATGAAATCTGGCGTATTTTATATGTATTTTATCCTAAAGTTAAGTTCGGTTTAACCTTCGGTCCTGATAAAAGTAGTTAGCCCCACTCATTCTTCAGTAGATCTGGTTTTGCCTTGATGTATATACACAATAATATTGACCAGGACTACAAATATCTATCTTCAAATATTCATATTAATAAATTAGCGGATCAGAAGTTTCCTAATATGTGCTTCTGTAGTATTCAGTTTCTTTCTTGTTTACTTACCAGCATTTTAACGCAAACAGAAAGGGACATTACTGTTGGGTAATCTTTATGGTTGGCATTCAATGAGGACTGACTATAAGGGCATACACTGAGAAAAGTTCTCATTAGTTCACCAGACGCTAATGAAGATATCCAACCTCTTTTTGAAGGCATTTAATAACGTATTTTCCTTTACGTTCGTAACATATTCTTACCTAAAGAGAACACAAATTCCTTTGCACGTCTTTGTATCCGTTCCTAAAAAGATGTCCCCTCAGATTAGATTCGTGGCTTAATTTTAAAAGGGGTATATTGGGATAAGTAGGATTGTAGATGTGATGGTATGTCATATTCATAGGGAAAACCGGGCATATTCCAAATCTGACTATGGGTGTACTCGCTAGATATTCATCCTCTATCAGATTTTAGATCACAACCGTACTTACGGCGCGGAATGCTTACCATATTTCTTGACCTGTATGTGGCATTTAACTCCACTAGTCGAGTGGTTTTATAACAGTGTTTGTCTAAAGAGTGTGCTAGGTAAGTACACTACTCTACTAAAGATTCTATTTTCGGATACCTGTGATCATAATAAAGCTTACGGTGAATTGTTTACATTTTGGTTGGTGTCCGTCAAAAGTGTCCAGTCTCTAGATTTTCACACAATTTTCTCATAGATGTGCTTATAGAAGGTCTTAGTTGCTTCATCCGACTTTATAGGAACAGGCCTTGTCACATAAGACTCCTTAGCAAACATAAAGTACGCAAATGACATGTTGAATCGAGAAAAGAAATAGGAATAGACTCACCAACCACACGCACATCCGTACAGTAGGTAGGGAACCATATCTGTTTTGTGGCGGCCATTGATATTACTTGACTGCCCAAATCTCGGTAGGTGTAGATGGGTTCGAACCGGTCACCAACTGGTTGAAAATCAAGTGCATAGATCAACGATCCTCAGCTCCCGTTATGTGAAAATGCTATCAGAATAAAGAGTTTTCTGAATACCTTAAATGACAATTTGAAAATGTTTGAGATGCATTTATCACCACTCAAATGGACATTTTTACCCCAGGATTGGTCTGCGTCCTCACCTCTTCTAACAATAGGGAGTAGAGTGGTTGAGCGCAATAACCATTTCATATATTTGGAGAGTCAGATCAGTTCTGATAGGTTACCGATGAACGAAATACCGATGCGCTTGTACAAGGCCTACTTGGCTTTTGATGACTAAGGCTGTCTGTGGTATTGGTGAGATATCTGATTGCTTGCCAAAGTGTAACTGTACTGCTCAGTAGTTTACTCTCTTCTATTATATATGGTCATTAAAGATGGAAAAATAGGTCTTCACTTTTTCATCCACAGTTGCCTACGTAGTAGCCGTATGTTTTAGAAACATCAGTTTGGTAATGTAGAGATCAGGTTGTGAGGCTGTGACCCATTGGTTTAACCAGTCGACTTTCAACCAGTGGGTAGTGGGTTCGAACACCGCTCCATCTACCGAGGTTTGGGTAGCTAGGTAATATCATTAGCCCTCATACAATGAACCTGGCTCATTGCTTACTGCATGAATGTACACAAGGTTGTTAAGTGCTTTTCAGTTCGAGAGATTAGACGTAGTCTTTGGAAAAAGGAGAAGCTGGCTAGTGAGTTTGTAGAGATTCGTCGACTGAAGTGACTGGGCCATGTTATGCGTGCTTAGTCACCACTTTAATCAGCGCAGAATGTGATTCGAAGGAGGTCTAGACTAGAAAAATGTCAGATAACCAGTCTAGAACATGATATAGTTCCGTAAAGCTTTTGACTGTTGGTCTGAGCCGTGTACAGAAATGTAAATTTCCTGGTCGTGTTCCTCATGACAAATGAAACCGCTGATTGGAAACTCTAAGTCATGTGACTAGCATTTGGCCTCTGTGGTACAGATCCATTCACATATTGTCTTCATCCTAGTTGTTTTATCACATTTTTTGCTTACTGAGACCCCTCTTTTTCTCTTATAGACTTCTACAATTTTCTTTTCCATCCATTTCCCTATTTCTGTATCTGTCGTCTTGTTTCCTTATATCTTGTATTGATGTAAGATGTTACAACCTTGGCCACTAAGAGCAGTAATGTTAGGTTCTGTGTTGAAGTCGAGTGAATGATTGGCTTGCTGCTATGCGAGAGTTGGAGCTGTAAATCAATATTTCACTCTGGGTGTTACTGGATAGTGGGTAAATGAGTAGTAGCTGGTAGTCATTAAATCTGTTTTTTTCAGTGATCTGTTCATCGTCCCGTTTGTGAGTGGATACATGTTCCTCTCTTGTTTATAGTCTCACTAACCGCCAATGTTTTCTCCCTGGCTGCCTTATTCAATCTCTCTATTTCCTATCACTGCTGTCTTTTCATTCCCTTCAGTCTCTGCCACCCACTGATGCTGACAACCATGAAGTAAAGTTTTTATCAGGCGTCACTTACGTTGCTCCGGCTCCTTATTTTGCTTTGAACTTTCAAGAATCGATTAATTTTTATACAGTCCCTGAGATTCAGTGACATTTCTTGCCCTTTTAGGCTTTTTGCGATCTTTCTGGTTCTTTTAATAGCCAACCGAAGGTAGTGCTGAATTTCTTCAGGATGTGTAACATTTTGTGTTCCAATAACTATCTAGCCAGTTCTTCCTTAAAGATATCTTCCAAATCTTCATAATCCGGTTAAATTCGTGAATGTTTTTCATTCGTAGTTCCCTTACGTCCATTTAGGCATAAAATACGCATGTTCAAACCGATATGTGGTCATTGTTCAAGAACTTGTTCTAGGAAGAGCTGCAATCTCCCATCCACTCTTCATTGAAAACTGAAAGCAATATGGTCTGTTTATGCCCATTGTTGATTGGAGGTCGGTGACCGACGGGTCAAACTCTCTCTCTCTCTCTATGGAGTTCGTATTGGCTAGAAGTAATTGGTTGTCTAAACATAATTGTTGCATGAGATTGGCATTTTTGGTTGGGATTCTGAAAGTAAAGTGTGGGTTTTTTTCTGTCATGTATTCTTTTTACTTGCGCATTGTTTAGCTTTCAGTAGAAAGCCAGACAGTTTTTGTGGTGAGTTGTCACTGTCTAGATGGGGATGTGATACGTCTGAGTTAACGTCCGGTCAAGCCATGCGTAGCGATGTTCTTATTTGTTATTGTTGCCCTGTGTCTTTGGGAAATATTATAATGTTAATGGTTTTCACTGAGTATATGCTACTAACTTTGTGTTAGTGTACACATAGGTATTTAAAAGTAACTGAACATGTGTGAACTGTTTAATGAACTTGTTTGACCTGACTTTTGAACTGACTGGAATATATGCATTACGGTTACGATCTCTTTTCCTGCATCATCTCAGAGTACTGGTTTTAGTCAATCCTGAGTGCGGATAAATTAGTTCATTTTCCAAAACGGCTCTGTTTTCGATGAAGCCCATCGTTTGCCTCTTCTGAACTACAGTCAGTCAGTCTCGTGTCGTAGCGCTATGCCTAAACTTGTGAGACCGCAACACTGTCTGAGGAGTTTCCAAATACTCGAAGGTCGAGTCCTGCGGATTCACAAGGTTGGCTGAAGTTAACAACCACATGCTACTGTGTAGTATGGGAACTTGCATTGATTCACTTTTGTGCGAGGTTTTACGTTGAGTTGTCTGTCTATCCGAATAACCACACTTAAGCCCTGTATGCGTTTCTCAGAAATCCTCTCGCTTTTACTACCACTATTAAATTACAGTTACTGTCTTTATACAATTTTTATGAATTCAAAGGGGTACGCGGCCAATTAATAGTTAGAAGCTTCTGTGTTCTAAAATCAATCGGTTTATAAATGCGTAACTTACACGACGCATATTTCGTTTACTGGTTTGCTCGTTGAACTGTAGTTTAATGTCTTACTTCCTTGATAGTTAGAAATGTATCTATCTGATGATAAGCACTTCACTGTTACTGACAACTAGGAGATAGAACAATTGTATGTACCCATTTATAATAATTCCTTCCTTCACCAATTTCAGAGTACGTGAAAGAATCCTAATCTATTTTTGTTTACTTTTAGATTATTGTTCATGAAGCAGATTTCAATTGTGTCTGACAAATGCATTTATATGTAGTGTTTGTGGCTGTATTAATCGTCCCAACTGCTTCGGTAACATGTTTTTTCTGTTAAATTAATTTCATCGTCAAACTATAGGCAGATTATGAAGATGCTCGGTGTAAATGTGTATGTTTACTTCCAGGATCCTATACAAATGGAACTAAACCATCTAAGAAGATATATGTGAAAGCGATCCCTTCAGAAAAATGGTAAGTTAATTCTTTTTCCTTCTTTACAATATTGTTAATTAATAAAGCACTTTTGAATATATGCTACAGAATGATAGCGATCTCCACCCGTTTTGTGAATGCAAATTCCAAGTTAGGAATACCACTACAATAAAGGTAAGTCCTTTTATTTTTTTGCAGTATTTAAAATATTATCTAACCCGTAAGTTGGATAATAAGCGTTAAAAACAATTTCCCATATCTACTGTTTGCTGTTATACTATCCGGCTGCATAAAACTCGGTAGGTGGAGTAGGGTTAGAATCCTTAGCTCGCCAGTCTAAATCTGTGCGTTTGATTTGGTGAATAATTACTCGACAGATAGACGGCCTAATATGAATCATTATCAAATAAGCCAGAGACATTTTTAGTAGTGGTTATCACCAATATTAATGGGATTTTTTTCAGTGAATGATGAAGTCCTCTCATGACGTAATCGGTAGATTTTTTGTAATTTTGGCGTATAGTTGGCTTACTTTTGTATTTATTAGTTCATATTAAAACTTACACCGCAAAAGAATGCACAAACCAGTTGTCAACGAATCTTCTAGAGAACTGGGCGCCATCAACTAAAATCCCTTGTTAACAACTGTCAGAAATTAAATCTATTCTATTACTGTCTAAAGTTGTTCAGTATATGTAATATATTTATTGTATCAACGAATGTAAATCTGTTCCACATCCAATAAATGTTTCACGCTTGTTCTTTAAATGATGATATTTGTATTACAAATTGAACTAAACAAGTCCCACTAAACAATCAAAAGTGAATCTGACATATCAGTCCTCATGTTTAGCTAAGAATTAGTCAATAGTAAAATCTGGTTAGTAGTTACTTCTCCAGAGTGAGCAAGTACATTGATTTTTACACGTAGAATTGACTATTACAGCGCGTGCAGTGATATACAATCTCACAATACAGTGGGAGACAACAATCATACTTAAGACCGATATAGTTAGATTCGGATAGAGAGAGAAAGAAATACAGATCGACTATGGAATCTTTGTCTAGTCTATTTGATGGCTAGCAATGGAATTCAAGATGCGCGTTTCGTCCTACCTTGACCATTAGGACACCGGGGCGCGAGTCTTGGTGGGGGTAAGATCACCCACTAGGGTGCAGGCACATTCAGCTGACGAGTCCCGAACGGGATGAAACGTGTTCACTGGATTCCACTGCTAGCCACCAAATCGACTACAACATAGTGAGTGTCCAGGCAGTATAAAATAATCTGCATCGGATTCATCTTACCAACAGAGGTCGAGCAATTCGACCCAGTATTAGGACGGGAAACTACAAGTATTAATAAATAAGAATCTTTGTTTATTGAACATACACTACACACTATGTAAACAAACCAACATTTATCTAGGATAATATAGGGAACCGTATTACTATCAAAACCAAAGAATGACAAATGGTTGGTTTTGAAAAGCCCTTCGACAGCGTCGACCGAGAAGTAATTTGACAGCTACTGCTTCAGTACTATGGTTTCAGTGCCACAAATCTTTATCAACATCATTCAACACCAGCTATATGCTATATGATGAGGCTACATGCTAAGTGATTCACTGTACAATGCAAAGCTCAGCTCAGTGATAGATTTGAAGTGAAGACAGGAAGGAGTAAGACAAGGTTGCCGCCTACTATCACTGATCACCTTCCTGATTGTGGTCGACTGGACTGAACTGGACGACACAACAAACTGTGAGGAGCTGTGAGAAGATAGGCATACTCTGGCTGGACCGATGAAAAGAGCCTGGGAGATTTGGATCTCGCCGATGGTGATTTATGTCCAGTGTCTTGTCTCACAGACTCGAAGATGTACAGGCGAAAACCAACAAGTTGGCGGAAGAGGCGAGGCGATGCAGGGCAGCGAAGACGTGACTTCCTTGAGGTGAATGTAGAGAAGACAGAGCTGATGAAGATATTCAAACAACAACAACAACAACAACAAGAAGCACCAATCACCATCAATGGGAGAAATGTAAGCGAAGTATTTCCTTTCACGTACCACGTAGGCAGCGTCGCATCGTTTCAACTACAGTTAGGGGCACTGGCACAGATGAGTATGTCAAAGCCAGGATCGGAAAGATAGCAAGATAGGCCTTCCTGCAGTAATCTGAAATAAACAGTGTGGAGATCTACTGCACCGCACTCCACTCCACTCAGCATAAAGCGTGAACAACATCCGGATTTTCAACACTAATTCAGTCCATTGAGTCAGTGCTTCTATGTGATGGTTGAGAAACTTAGCGCATTACGAAAAGCGTTTTCAACAAGCTGCAGACATTCATCAACAGCTGCCTACGCTCGATGTTGAATATAAGATGACCAGAATATTAAGAAGAAGCAAGGAGGAACTCTGGCTGGCTGGCAACGAAGCAAGGACATATCGCCCAACAAATATGCAGAAGGAAGTGGAGGTGGTTTAGGTTGGGCATGCACTGAGAAGACCATTCGGGGACATCACGCTTCAGGCCAGGCCTTCGAGTGGAACCTACATGGGAAACGACGAGTTGTTCTTCCGAGGGTGATATGATGGAGATGGTATTAGGAAGAGATGAAAGCTTCTAAGCAGTTGTGTAGCCAGGTTAAAAAGATTGCAGAGAATAGAGTGGAATGGAGGCGTGCTACTGAAGCCCCATGTTCCACTAGAAACCCAAAGGATAAATAATAATGATCAATAAAATAATCAGGTATTGGGAGTTGTATGATCATCTTGATGTGAATGTGGGGGGGGGAGGGGGTTAAATTGTGCTGCGTAACCCACTGAGTAAATAATGCTATATACAGTAAATAAACTTATTATGGAAATAGTTGGATGACATTCACATAATATTTTTTTATCTTATAGGTTAATAAATGCATTTTGTATGGTTATTAAGTTATATTATTTGATGTTTATTCTAAACATCTCCAGCATTAGATGTTCATCTTTTGTGAAAATCTCCGTGAATTGAACCTTTCTTATTCTCTTAGCATATTCCAAAAGTAGCATAAGCTTAACATCAAAGGGGATAACTTTTTCCCCTATGCCGAAAATAGAATTTAAAGATTAAAATATACTTTCTTAAACTTTAGAATTTTTCTTAACAGTATACTAAAACAATAATAAATGCTGATCAAATATCTCTCTTTAAAATGATAGTTAACAAGTATTTCAAGTTGTTATTCATCGTACACTGACATCAGTTGGAGGAACAAAGGAAACCTGGGAGCACTGGAGAGCTGTTTTGTCCTAGTATGGGACTCTTCGGCAGTGTGCACCCATGACCCCGTCAGGGATCGAACCCGTGACCTTCAAGTTCCATGGCTAGCACGTTACCATTAAGCCACTGGGTCGGCGGAATCCAATGGTCCATATTCCAAACTTCTGTTAGTTAACAAAGTAAATGTTTATAAATAATATTCTAATAAAATGCGTTTAAACTAAGTAATTGTGATATGAATAATAATCAACAGAATCTTCTCACAAAGTTATTTTCATAATGAAATTGAATACTTTAAAAATAGTGCAAACTTGCCATCTGAACATAGAAGAAACTTTACGAATTCATCACTTTAAGCTAAGTTTATGTGTTCAAAAGAGGAACTTTATATCCTTCACTTCACCTTGCTCCTGACTTTTTACATCAAATAACTCTTCATCAATATTACTATTGTCATCCTCTTTCATTAACTCTTCAGTTGTTAATCTCGATATTACTCTCTCACTTTTGTTACTTCAACTATAAAAAGTGACTTTAAATATGTACATATAATCTACTCTATCATCACTTGGGAAATGAAACATTGAGCAAATACACAATTCTTAATTCTCTTATAAGTGAAAAATATAATCGTGCCTTAGCTACACATATCTGACAAAAATGACACAACATAAAAACCAGACAATCAGTAATATCTAGTGTATGAAGCCCATCAAATTATCTAGTCGAAAAAAAAAACTCGGTACATGGAGAAAAGTTCAAACTTGTGACTCACTAACTGAAAATCGTGTACAGTTAGTCTCATAAACCATTGCTCTATTACAAACACACATAGTACTATACTATCCATCCAAAATTTAATACTCAGTCACTAACACAGAAACGTATAGTTTTATGAAGGAAATATTATTCCAAGTGCTATTTTTTTAAGTGGCTTACTAGTATTTTTTTCGTCTACGTTTACAATTTCACTACTTGAATACTGGATCCCAGCATACTACTTGAAATCTCTTTAGGCACATTAACTCAACACTAGAAATGTACATTGCTTTAACAACCTATACATGACTCTGTGATTCAACCATGTATCATCTGAAGCTAAGAGCAAGATCAGCTTGTTATTGAGAATGAGTTATAAACCTGTAAGTTTTGTTAATTATGGATCGTGGCTAGCAGTGGAATCCAGGATGCGCATTTCGTCCTATTTGGGACTCACTGGTCAGCTGGATGTACCTGCTTCCCAGTGAGTGATGTTGTTCCCACCGGGATTCGGACTCGGGAGCGATCGCTTCAAACGCCAGGGCGTTATCCACTGCACTACCGAGCCACGATAGCCACTTCTTGTGCGACGGGTATAGTTTTTAGTATAATGGTTTTTTTATATGATACGCTGGCAATATCGAGGCATCCTCACAGGAGCCCATATATGCTAATAGAGACTGATCAATTCGGTCCAATCAACGACGGTATTATATAAAAAAAACCATTATACCATAAAAGTTTTATCCGAGTTAGCACAGTACCTCAAAATATTTTAGTTTTGCTTAATCTAGCACACCCTACTACACTGACACACTACAATATGCAACACAAACAAAAGGCAAAGAAATGCAAACTATCTAAAGGAAATTTTGTAGAAAATCATAAGACAGAAAGGTAGAGTAAATAACGAAATGTAATGAAACGACTGATTTGAAGAGAAGGTGCGGATGTAATCATTCCACTATCATCCATTTTCGTATTAGACGAAAACATCGTGGTACCTATATATTAATGATTTCTACGCCAACGGTATAGCACATTTCCAAAATGATTTCATTTTAATCAAGTATGCACATGGAGACTAGACAGACATTTACCAAACAGAAAAACCTGAGAAATTAATTCAAGCATTTATAATGCAGA